TCAGTTTTTGGTGAGCACTGGGAGTTCAGTCAATGGTTCTCAAAAATTCCTAAGATTTCCCTATAGCAGATTGTGCTGCAGCCCCCCCACAAGGACACAGTGAAGGTGTCACACCATGTCACAGCTAGTCTCTTCAGTTACAAGGTATATGACATATCCTTATCATGCAATGTGCAAGCGTGAAAACAAATTTAGGTTTGTAATAGCCATGAGAGATGGGTATAGCCAAACAATATAAGATGTTTTCAGGTGAAGTTGGCCTTTAAAACTGGCATATAAGTTGTACAAACCCAGTTGCCAGAAACTGTAATCCACAAGGTTGTTCTCCCCTTCAGGTATTCGGAGGGGGAACTACAGGGCTCTTTGGGTCGCCTCACACTCCCCACAGGATCCACAGTAACCCCTCCAAATGAGGGTGAACAGAATACCATTAGCCAATAAGGAGCGGACTTCTTCATGCCCCGCACAATCCTGATAAATACGAGTGATATCGGTTCTAATTTCCTGAATTTGTATGGTTGTTTTGTTTCCTGGTGTGTGGACTGCCTAGGGTGGAAGGGCTATCGGAAAGGTTCACAGGATGTGCTCGGAGAGGCGGAGTGGAGGAAGCTGGTGAGTCTTAGCTGAAATAGTTATAGTTGCTAACTTCTAATCGGACAGTATATTTCACTCAGGGATACTGGATCATGACCGAGTAGGAGACACTCACAGGGGGGCAAGAGCTACCTGGGGCAATGGATCACATAGGGGACAATGCGCGTTACTTACATTCAGTAAATGAACAAATGCAGTGCAGGTAATACAGGACCTTGGATCACTAACTGACCTCCTATGAAGTATCCAGTCGATGTGCACCCCAAACTCAGCATCTCCTGCAAGGTCATGCCTGAGAGAAGAATTTATGTTCTGTTTATATTGTTTTGTGTATCCTGGATAATACTATGTACACGTTTTGGAAAATTCTGAAAAGTGTTGGTACTTATATCCCGTGAAAGCTATTGTAACCCTTTTTCTGTTCAACACAATAAAGTTAATGAAAAAAACCCCAAAAAACTGGCATATAAGTTCTTCTCATGGTTGGCCACATATATGAAAGTGTCTAAAAAAGAACGGTCTTTGTTCGCCTTGGCAATTACCCAACAACTTCCTTCAAAAACATACTTTCAATCTTTTAAGTTATTCAAAGTTTTAAAGCCAGAGGCAGCTAGGCAACTAGCATTTCCAGAAAATGAGCAGCAGTGGAAGCCTCTGCATTGTAAAGGTCTACTCTCAAAGCTAAACTCCATGCAAATATAAAAATATAAATTTATCAGTTAAAAATAATTACATTTATTCTTAATGAAAACAGTATCTGTTTTAGAACTGGTCCTAGTAAAAGCTTCTTGTAAACCCTTTTACGGCAACACTCAGATAGAGAGGGAGGAGCTAGTCAGTTTGTTGCTCCTTTACTGTCCAATCACATGTTGAGAGCAAGGAGGTGATCAAGCGGTTTTACTTAATGGCAGGAGGAAAGAGTTAGGTCATCAGCCTGGCTTAGCTCTTTGGATGTGTAAATCTGAGAACTTGATGGACAGAAAAATTAATCTTTTGGCAGCTGTATCATCTCCTATATATCTATTTAATCTGTGTGCCTGGTTGTAAATCCCGCACTCTGCTGCCATAACTCCAATAACAACTTTATTGACTCAAACAAGATACTGCTCAATCCCTCGAAAGTCTGCTCTGCTCTAACATGTTACCCCACGGGCTTAATCATTGATTTTCTGCCTCTCTAATCTTAACGCCTATCAACATGTAGCTTGCATAGCAGCATACCTGACAGGCTTTTTATGCTGCTTCTACCTCCACCTTGCTGAGACTGTACAGTAGAGTCTCGTAAAAGATGCTCATAAAAACTCAAATATGGGTTTTTACACTGTTTCCATTTAAACAATACATTTAAAGATGGTTGCAGCATCTGCACCCCCTAATAATTACTTCCTAAAGAGATCCACCTCAGTGTACCACTGGGAATGGTGCAGGGTTGTATGAATGTGGCACAGTGTGAATAAATAAAATCATTTTTGTTTAGTTTGTGGACAAGGGTAATGTGACAATACTGATTCTAAGCCTCCATTAGTTCATGCTTAACTTCTTTTTAGTAAACATCACTAAGCTACAACTAGATTCTCTGTAGTTTTACAGCAATCCACTATGGGTTAAGCTGATTTAGATCATCGTGAACTCCTGCCAAGTTAAACTACTTTTTAATTTGCTAGTTTACAGAGCTTAGGCGTGTGAATGGCTGAGCGCAATGGACAATGAGCTGGACACAGAGTGCCGGGTTAGAGACATGCAGATGCTGGAGGAAGAAGGGGAGTGTGGGGGAATGCAGCTGTTTTCTTCTATCTTATGCAATATCGGTACAGCTGTGAGGAGCTTCTGATGTCTCATTCAGATGGTACTTGTCTGTCAGCAATATGACTCTTGATGAAACCCCATAGTATGGCTTTTGGATTGTCTATTCTTCCTAAGATCATTATTAGTGTTCCAGATTTCCACTTAGAGTTGCTAGAGATCAGATTCTCCTGCTCAGTGACATTTATGGTTCCACGGAGGAGATGTAAAAGAGACAAAAGGGTTTCTGTATATGGTCAGGAGTCAGGACCACAGTACTCAATGATACTGGGTGACATGGCGCAAAAAGCTACTTTCCCCCTAAAGCAAAACTTCAGCCTCACTTTCTCCTAAATTAATCAGTCATAGGTGTGTTCTCATAGGCATGTTCACAGGGTGTGCTGGCTGTGCCTGGGCACACCCTAATAACCCTGAGCGCAACACTGATACTGCAACAGCGGGCACCGTGTTTTTAATCACTGAGACGGTGGAGTGAGCACAAAGATCTCTCTGTGACCGGTTCATTGATACAAAGCGCATCAGTACATGCCACTTAAGATTCCTCACATAACAGCTGCAGTCCTCGGTGCCTGGGAAGCTGCAAGAGAGTGTGGCTGCAGCTTCCCATCCAATCAGGAAGCCGGGTGGGAAGTCACATGACCACCTGCCAGGCTCCCTGCTTCATTACTGCACCCCTGATGGAAGAGGTAAGGGACAGTAAAGAGATGGGAATCTGGGATGCCTCAGGTCTGTGTATGAATATATATATATTTATATATACACACACGCGTGTGGGTTTGTATTTTTGTGTGTACACCCTAATGCGCATGCCTATGTGTATTCTAAGTGCTTTTTCTCCAAGTGATAATATTCTGATGATACTTTGCTGTTCTTAATCAGCTGCTGCGGTTTAATGCTAACTTACTTTAGCTTTGCTGCTGACTTACTTCCTACTGGATGACAGGAGTGTCATCAAGCCTCCTCATCAGTGACCTCGATTTCGTTGATACACCTTCTGGAGTCCATTATGCAGGTCACTGTTAGGCGTTACATTCAACAATCTGATGAATGCCTTAGTAAAGCCCACTGCTTATGAGAAAAGGGTGACCTAGGGACATGTAGTTAGATAGGAGCTGCGCAGGTCAGAGTACGCACTGAAATCGTCACGTGACCACATCTTTTACAGCAAAATTAAGATACTCGGAGGGCAAAAAAAAAAATATATATGGCACTGCAAACGGAACAGGGACTAGGGGAATCAGGAGGTCTATAAAAAGTCAAACCTGAACTGAGAGGAAACAGGAAGCTCCCGTCACTGACCTCCTTCTGAAAATGCTAGTTGCCTGTCTTTCTCTGGCTGCAATGCTTTCTGAGACACTGACTAATTCACCATTTCCTCCATTAACTAGATAAGACCTATGTGATTTTACAAAAGCCTTCTACTGCCATGAAGATCACCCTGATGACATGGTATGTTGTAGAAGTATACTGTACATATATACTACTAGGTATATACTACTACTACTACTACTACTACTACTAGCTTTTAAATCTGAATATATCCCTTTGTATTCTACACTTTCCATTACATGGATTGTTAATGATAATTGCACATGTCTCGTGTATTAAAGGTGCACTGCAGTCAAAATTTCAAATGATAGTACATCTAAAGTCAACATTTTTTAGTTTTGGATGAAGTGAGCAAGGGTTAGAACCTCCATTAGTTCTTTTTATCCTAAGTCCATTAGCAGTATTTGTAGAATTAGACATTTACTGGATGATTTCTAGAGTTGAAATCTATTGTACATATACCTCCTTCCCACACACACACACATTACCATCTTTTCTGCCTAAAATATATCAAGATAACGCTGAAAGAAAATATCCAGGATTAAAGCCATGAATTGGGTTATACTGATTACACAATCCCACCGCTAGTAGAAATATATGGAAATTGGAAGAAGGACATGCAGCAAATATCCTTAACATTTTACAAGAGAGATGCAGAATTGAAGAAAAAGATAACCATAATTAAATATAAAGTAAACATTAACCTTGATAACTGAGAATGTGTCCTGTATGTTGCAGTTTTCCTATTACTGTATGCAATGGTGTCCTTTCCATTGGGCCTCTACCAACTTATTTATGACTTGTTAAGGCCATACATAAATATTTAGGGGCAGAAGATTGTGCAGTATGATAGGATATCACAACACAGCATACAATACATGCAATAACAACACAGATGTTAGTATTATATAGAGTGGCCTCTAAGGGAAGAGGATTTCCTGTGAAGGTCAGTGCTGCTCCTGGACCTATACTATTGCAGTAACAGCACGGTCCAGCATAGATAAATAAGACCATTAATCTATCACTGGTTGGGGATTTTAATGGTCTTATTTATCTATGCTGGAAAAAGGCGATAATAGAAAACAAGACAATATTCTACAAATATGGAAATAAAGTATGCTGTCATGGCTGATGGAGTAATCTCACTTTCTGAAAGTTTGAAATAACACATTGTATCCAACTACTCTGTATTACTGAGTGTCCCTTTACAAAAATAAATAAATAAAGGGCACAACAGGGAACGTCATTGAGGATAAAAGGAAAAGTTTACTCACTCTCACACCCGGGAGACCACTGAGACCTGGGGGACCATCTTTTCCGACCAAACCAACTGCACCCCTTTCTCCTTTCTCCCCTTCTGGTCCTGGTTCACCCTTTTCCCCCTATAAGAGGTAACCATAGAGAGGATTGCTGTATGTTTCGATATACACAGTCACTTACCATATTGTTGCATGGATAAAGCCAACTCCAAGCAAAACTTTTTATTCATTTAGGATAAAGCACTGAAGGGTTAGAGCAGGCCTGTCAATCTAGTGTTTTATGGGCCACATGCGGCCTTCTCCCTCCTCCTCTGCAACTCTCAGTGCTTTAAGGATAAAAAAAATAATAATAATGTGCCACCAGCTTTTGTCCAGTAAATAAGTTACACTTATGTACTTCATTTTGCAGCTAAATGCTTCAGGAAATGTTTTATGGTCAGTTTTTCTGTAATTAAATATTTACTGTGGGGTCTATTTATCAATGTTCTCACCCAAGATTTATAAAACCTTTACTGAAGATTCACATTTTCTTTTGTAGGTGCGGCCCTCAGAAGACACACACATTTTTAGCGGACAGGAAGTGAGGGAAAATTTCCCTAATGAAGTCACAGATAGAAATAAGAACTAGACAGATATATTACCGCTTCCCCACACTATGCAAAACTAAAACAAAAAAAAAGTGTGGCTGGATTTCATGTCTCACACAGCTTGGTCTACTTACAAAACTTGAGCTTTGGGCAGAGCCAAATTATACCAATCCATACATATTCATATTAATCTTTATTAAGGGCATTTATATAGGCACCACCATTTTACAAAGGGCTTTACATATTGCATATTCACATCAGTTCCTGCCCTCAAGGAGCTTACAATCTAATGTCCCTATCTCATACACACACATACTGAGACAGAAGCCAATTAACCTACCATCGTGTCTTTGTGAGTGTGAGAGGAAACTGGAGTACCAAGTGGAAACCCATACAAGCGCAAAAACATGCAAACTCCATACTAAAGCTATATAAGAGAAAGCCTTATAAAGAGCACCTTACTTGTGTCAAATGTTTTCTCTTTGCCCCCACAACATGGGCAGAGTGACAAAATGGCGAGACACAAAATCAATTCACTTTTGACTAATTGACTTCACTAATTCACTAAAAGGATTAACGAACAAGAAAGTCAGAGAAAAGTTAGAAGTTCTTATCTGCCTATGTGTTCTGGTTCTGTGACTCAAAGAACTGAAAGAAGAGGTTTAACATGACAGCCAGGTAGCCAACAGTTATTTAAGTAAGAGTTAGGAATAGCAGCCTCCGTATTTCTCTCAAACAAGCAGAAATGAGCCACTGGATTGAAAAATTAACAACAGATTAATCAGACTGTGATAAAGAACAGTGGCTATGCGGAGGCTGCTCTCAACAAAATCAGGGTGATCCAAAAGTAGGGGGCCCAGATTTGAAGACATAAAAAAAGCCAAAACAAAAGGTCTGGGAATCCAAAAGTTTTTAATACTGATGTTTTTTCACAAACAGACAACATAGAACAGCCAATGCGCTTTGGGCGTTCAAAGATTGCCCCCTAGTTCAGGGCTAAAAAACAGACATGCAAACCTAAGAAATCTCTGATTGTTTCAATTGGTACATTAACTGTAAGATGAGTGCCTAACTAAAATTCTCTTCAACTTGTATCCAGTCAGGTAGGTTCTTGCACTACAAGTTGTTGGTAGATCTAAACGCGATTGTACAAGGGGTATGGTCGACTTTATACGCATTTTCCATTACCTACCTTTAGTCCATCTGGGCCCATCATACCACTGTCCCCCTCCAGGCCGATTTCACCCTGTAAAAATCAGATTGCATTTTTAAATAAAAACTATAATAGTAGTAGTAACAATAGTACAAATAACAGCAGCACCAGTGTGCCTATTATATGTATTATTTATCAGTTATATTTTCAGAATGAATCTCTATTCAGTGGTATACTCACCCTCTGGCCTATCAGTCCTTGTTCTCCCGGAATCCCCAATGGTCCGATATCTCCCTAAGGACAGCAATAAAAAAAGAAATTAAACAAACATAAGTTACTTTTTGGTTGTATCAGTTTCAGTTCTTTTTTTCCCCCAGGACTATGACTGTGTAAGAAGTGGCACTTTCTTCTTCTGCAGCTCTCCAATCTGTAGCCCAAGGGAAGGGAAAACCAAAGTGTTTAGAACAAAGATCTCATAGTGCATACTCTATTTTATATTGTATATTTGAGGCAGCTTCTTAAAAAAAAATTTGTACTAAGCAGAGAGAAAAAAAACCACAATGACTTAAACTCCCAATATTTATGTATGAATGTTATTCTAAAATTCGCATCTTTACCCCTTCTTTTCGTGTTAAAAAAAGCACAACTCATCTTCTCCACACTACAGTGCTGCCCTTTGTGTTACCCTCCTCCTCCTCTGCTGGTCTTTATCTGGGTTAGATAACCCCAGCATTATTCCTGTGAGCCCAGGCTGTCATGGACACTCACCTTGGGGGTACACAGTACAAGCCTCAGAGGTGAATGCTGTAGAGAATGGCAATCACACGTCACAACCTAAGCACTGTTCTCTGCAGTACTGAAACCACCCACAACCATAAAAGAGGAAAAACTAGAAGAGGAGGACCCTGCTTATTATGATCTCCTGGAATTAAGGTATGTAGAGGAAATGTTTTGACATATGAGGTGGAAGGCTGGATGGGTAGACAAAAAGCTGGAGTTGAGCTTTTAATACAGGGCCCCCTAGCATAAACACGCCTTTATTCAGATGCCTGAAGCAAAGAGGAATACCCGGTACTTCCGAGTCTTGGAGGATGTGAACCTCTCACCTTCCTCCCATGATGTGGGGCTTGGTTCCCGAGTGGCCAATTGGCAGGCCTGCTCTCTGTCATGTGTTCAAGGTTTATACAGGCATAATGACTTAATGTCCACCACCCCGAACTTTCTCTGCAGTTAAATAATACAGATAGGTCTGACCTCTGCCCCCAGACTGTGAATTGGTAGTAAAGGAGGAGAAGCATTATAATGAGCTCTTTTCCCTTCTCTCTCCTCATACCAGCATGTTCTTTGTTAGTGTATGAGCATTGCAATACACCGGATTGGCCCTCTTGTGCTGCATCTACCTCTCCCGGTCTAAGCTCTGCTGTACAGGAGATTGCAAGAGGCTAATACCAAGGCAAATTCAGGAACCTAAATATAAAATGCACTATATTCTTAATAAAAAAAATACCTGCATGATTTTTTTTTCTGCATGGAGTTCAGCATTAAACTGAGCCCATTGCTTTGTCTTGCATGGAAAGCACAGGTTCACTATAAAAGTCACACAACTGTCATTAGAATAAGAGAGGTCAGCAGCGCACACTTCATAATTCTTTAAGCAGTGGTTTTCTTTAATTTGCTTGTTGTGAACAGGTGACAGGTCCACTTTAAATCTGTCACAATGTTAGGAAAGTTTAATTCAGCAACAGCTGGAGCAGCAAAGATAGCTCACTCTGGGAATTAGTTGACATTATTTGCAATTTTCTATTTTAAAGTCCGGCTTCAATTCCAGGCCTTTTTTCCCCCCCTGTTTTTATACTATAAATATTTCTTATTTTGCTGCCTGTGATGCTCTGACCCTTTGTTCAGAAAACAAACTACTGCTGTTAGACACAGGGAAGAGTCTGGGAAAGGCAGCTGTGTTGTGTGCACAGTCTTCAACTCTCCAGCTAGGCAGGACATGTAAACCTTCAGCACAGGACATGGATGCAGCTTGTGCAATCTATCCATTGCTGTCCAGTCTCCAGCTGAGATAAGAGTCTCACGCTGGCAGGCACTGAGAGCCGTCAGCTACTGTGAGCCTCGTGTTTTTGAATGGAAGCATTGCGCGTATCAATGGGGTTTTGTTCGCGGAGAAAAGGGACAGGAGGGGAGGTAGGTTCAGGTTTCACCTTTGTCACAAAAAGGGAAACAGTAGCTTCTGTCATAAGCCAAGGATGGTTTGCCAAAAACAATGATACAGGGGGCTCTGAAAAATGCAGAGGCATAGAAAAAGAAGAAAAGCCGCAAACAGCAACCTCCAAAATAAACAGGATGACATTAAAGCAAAAATGTCTTTGAGAGAGTACCAAGAACAGATCTGATGGGGACACCTGCTATTGCAGAGACCAGACAATCATAAATAAATCTTGCTTTCTACCTTCTAACATGAGGCATGCTAAAGTCTTCTCTGTCATGCCGGGCCGGATTTACTCTCTTTGCTGCCCCAAGACCAGGTTCCTTAATGCGCCCCCCTCCCCACTCCAATGGAGAATGGCAACCAGACGGCGGGGGCAGCAGGGGTTGGTTTTTTTCTTTAGTATTTTTTAAAATTTTAGTTTATTTTTTAAATTTATTTTTTTTTACATTTTTATTTATCTTATTATCTCTGACTTATCATTTTTTTCTTTATCACTCCAATACAGGAGTTTGAGCAAAGCCCCCCCCCCC